TGGCGGGGAAGGAGCAGGCTCCGGCGTGCCCGAGTGCAGGGAGCATCTCTTCAAGGTGCTGGTGATCGGGGAGCTGGGCGTGGGTAAAACCAGCATTATCAAGCGCTACGTGCACCAGCTCTTCTCCCAGCACTACCGGGCCACTATCGGGGTGGATTTTGCGCTCAAAGTCATCAACTGGGACAGCAAGACCCTGGTGCGGCTGCAGCTCTGGGATATAGCAGGTAAGGTCCGTGGCCCGGCTTCTCCCTGCAGGCTGCGCCCCGGCGGACAGAGGCCTGTGAAACCTGGCGTCCCGGGGCTCGGTCCCTGCAGAGGAAAGGGTATTTCGACTGTGAAACCTGTCATCTTATTCTTCTCCTTCCACTTATTACCTGCAACCCCTTCGTCTGTGTTTCAGGCATAAATAGAGAGAGGTCTCGATGTGGAAGTGAAGTTTTTGACTTTTTATATGCTGCATGTGCTCCAGAGTCTTACAGCAGTCCTCAAAAACCTTTTTTGCTCTGCAGCTCCTTGCTCACTCTTCCTGCTCCTGTTGCTTCTCTTGACCCATGTGACTGAGCACTTAGGGCCTTGGTTATGACCAGCTGCTTAAATTCATTCATGGCTATGGTTCTGTAACACTTCCAGAAGAAATAAGTATCTTTTTCAAGTAGGTTATGTTTAGTAAGAATGCTTTACAGGCTAAACGTAACTCAAACAGATAAAATTATTCTCAAAGGATATATGCTCGAACATTACATGTTTGGCATCACTTACTTAATGTAAAAGTAACTTGTGTCCCTGCAACATGGAGTGAGGGAAGGGAACTTCTGGTATATTTAGTTCTACATGGAAATCATGGGTTTGTGTATCAAAAGTATACTTTGAGCACATGGAAGCCCTATTAATCTGTCCAAACTGCACATCATTCCTTTGCTATGTATGAGTTAAAACTGTTCTTTAACACTTTTGTTTTAAGGGTTCCAACTGTATACCTATCATGGTTAACTTTGCTTATGCTGTGGTGTTAAATGACAGAAGAAATTCTTTTCTGCTGTGGTCTTGTAAGAAGTCTGTTCCCTTAAATCCTTAATCATATCAAACTGATACTGCATTTCTGGTCTTGTGTGCAGCCCAGGTATATTAACCTGCAGCTCTCTTCATCCCTCTCCCCCATGTTCCGAATTTCTCCACAGATATGAAAAAGTAGACTTTGTCTCAAATGCTGGTGTCAAAATTTACGTTGCTGGAAGGCACTGGGATAACAACTGGTAGTTACTGTTTCCATGAACTATAGGCTTTACAAAGTGGAAGCTCAGAAAAGAGGAAGTATAAGGTGGTTGCTGTAATCCTGTGACAGATCAGTTCTATGTTAGTTTATGGCCTTTGTGCTCTAAAGGTTGTCTTAAAATACTTCAACTATGGTTCTTCAAACTAAAAAGCCTGCTTCTCGCTGCCATATGCTGGAACACACCGTAGATCTTCCTGCTGCTGGCCTGTAGGGTAAACGAAACTATTCTCTAATTGCTCTTTTGGAGATCAAGTAAATTGTTGGCAAGCTTTCTATTCTTGTGTGTTCCTCTTATGGATCAGTTTTAACTTTCTATAAATCAATCGACAGTATTGGTGCATGCTGTCACAATGCTCTGGAGGTATTTTAGCAGGTTGGGGGTTCCAAAGGTTGAAGAGGGAAGGCTGTGAGGATCCTGGGGTTTGGCAGGCTGCCAGACTTATGTTTAACTTCTCTCCAGCCCTTGGTTTCTTAAACTGGGGTAGGCTTTCCTAAAGCAATCTGTTCCAACAGGCTAGGCAGAAACTTAGCTTTAAGTTGTAATAAAATTTGGACAGACCTATTTACATTATCCTATCAATATACCCATGCATTAATTTCAAGATCTAGAAGATGGTATTTTTCACTCTGTTGTTGCCCTTAGTGTACTTTGGACATTGTGAAGTGAAGAGTGAGTTAAGAGCTGCTGATAAATCCCTGGAGGCTTGTGCTAATATTGATAGATTAAAGAATTAAAATTTCTCCTGTCACTGACGTATTTTTCCTGTTTTACTATGTGGTGTAATTCTGTATCAAATTCCTGACTAGTTGTTCCTTAGTAAAAATGAAAAAAGAAAATACAACTGGTTTGCAATTTGCAGTCCAAACTCTTATTTTGAATCTGGTACTTTAGGATGTTCTGTCTCCCCTGCTTGAAAAACGAGACCAAGAAGAAAAGTAATCTCAGTCTTAGTGTTTGACTGGGCTGTGCTTAGCCAATGTGACAGTAACAGTTCAGACTTTATAGAACTTGACATCTCAGTTAAGTGTTAATCATTAAAATAAAGGGGGCTTTAGTATCCTTAAAGGTTAGCAGTTTTAAGACCCTGACACAAAGTCCTTGACCTGGGAATGTGTTCTGCAGTTGTTTATATCTGTATTCATGAATATTTCTAAATACCTAAGGTTGTTAACAGATCTATATAGAAATTAATAGTTACAGAACCAGGTTGAAGATGGCTTTTATATAGTGATAGCATGTTTCCTAAAGCACTTTATTGAAGTGTGTAACAAAGTATCTGAGCATGTGATAGTCATTCCCTTTTAACTCATCAGCCCAACAGTCTTCTGGCTTTCAACAGCCCATGTAGATAATTTCGTCTGCTGGTATGTGCAGACAAACAGCTTTAGATCTCTTCAAGAGATCCAAATCTTATGGTAAGTGTTGTTGCATGTGACTTCCCTGCAAGCAGTATGGTGCTGGCATTCTGAATTGATTTTGATGTGTTTTAAAAGGCTTCTGAAGTGAAGTTTAACCCTTAAGCATAGTAAACCAAGTTATTTTTTACTAGATAAAGCTTGTACTTAGCAGTTCATAATAAAAAACCTTTTCTCAAACAGTTGGGTGCTGCAGTCTAAGGTTCTGTACCTAAATTAATGATAAGAACTAGCCATGTAGTTCAGTCATCAGCTAAAGATTATAAGGTAGATACTGTGCTGACTTCTGGTGTGATTGTAGCCAATATGATGAATGTTGTGCTATGTATAGCAATGCAGCAGGTTCCTGAGTAACTTCAATGTCTTGTGCTGAGTTTTTTTAGTGATTAGATAATTCTATCAAATAGAGTGTGACAGTGTTACATTGCTTATGCTTTTTTTTTTTCCCCCTCTAGTGGGAAATAGCCTTGTTTTAAGGTACACTATAATGCAAATTCCTGCAGCAGAATCAAAGGGGAGGGGGTGTGAAATAGTGAAGGGTGAAGGGTAGACCTGTATATTCCAGAAACACTTGGGCATTTTAGTTTTTAGACAGTTTGTAGCTTCTTCAATAATGGAGATGAAAAAGCTTGGGAGTAGGATTGATCAGTCATGGTCAAATGATCTTGGTTGCACCTTGAAGTATTCTGGAAGAAGATGAACAGATTACATGCATGTTCATACAGGAGCAAGACTTCTAAACATTAGCTGCCCTTAGATATTACTCTTGTTTTTTATCTTGACATGTGGAGTTATGATAAATATCTTCCTGGTTACATTCTGAAAGTGTTAGAACCCCCTTGATCAAAGGACATAAATAATTGGCAAAATAAATAGGAGATAGGAGTGAGTCATTGTGGTAAAGAGTAGAAAACAAAGGAATCTTAATGATAGGGAAGTACTTTTAGAGTCTGTTTCAGGACACTAGAGATTCCTGTTTGACAAGCAGGTTGTTTTAGTGAGTATACTGCACTGACCACAACTTAATGTAGGAGGTGAATATAGCATATTGATGAAACTCAGTCAAATAAAATTGGAGGAACACTTTTAAGGATTTTCTGCATCAGAAACTTTTGATCTGATCTAACAAGACCAGCAACTAAGTAGTCTTATCTGCTCCTTTATGATCCCATTGACTATCACTGTCACTCAGACCATCCTGTATGAACATGCAATTTGCCAGAGGGCAGGGGTGGTAAAAGTCATAGATGACTGTCTGAGCTTGGCTTCTCTTCAAGAATGTTGCTAATGACAGCTAGTAGGCAAATTTGGTTTTAAAGCTCTGAGCAATTTTGCATGAACTTTGCAGAATTTCTTTGTAAAAGTGTTTATTAAAATTGAAGTAATGCTTTAACTGGAGGAATGTGGCTATGACATTAGCAGAACAGAAGAGGAATGGTTGTTCTTCGGTATTCTACACAAGCCCTACATGCTCTACACAAGCTTTTAGGAGCTGAATGATAAGATTTGTAGCATGCAGATTAGTTACTAAAGTCTTGTCTGTCTCCTTGAGCAGATCTGAACTCTTAACTTGCTAAAAGTAAATACCAGTCCCCAAGAGAACAGAGGTATCATGAAATATTGCTCAAATACTAAGTTGAGAAAGAGCTGGAATAACCCATCTTTTCTATGAAGACAAGTAAGTTTTAGATATGTGAGTAGATGTTAAGCTTTTAATTTCTTTGGGAAGTTAACTTGCTATCATCTATAGGAAGCTATGAGAAAATGAGTACAGGAAGCAATGGGTGTGGGAGAAGGAGGAGGACATCCTAAAATTTACTTCATGGCAGAGGACAAAAAACTTAAACTGAAAGGAGCACTTGCAAAGCAAGACAGCAAAGGCAAAATGCAAGCTGCCTTACTTCCATAAGCAAGAGTGCTGCACCCAATAACATTTTCTGTCCCAATGGAATAAGATATACCTCCTGTAGAAAGCTGAAGTGCTTGGTAGCTATGCACCTTCTGTGGAACGTAGCTGTGAACTATTATGTGTATTGGTGGCTGAGTTTCAAAGGCATTCAGGCTGTTGCAGTATGTGAGAAAGCATACTTCTGTGTGCAAAACCTTATAGTTTCAACCAGATGTATAATTCAGTTTTTCTCAGTCTGAGTTTGTGCTACTGGCATGTCAGAAGACCACCAAGTTGCTTCTATGTACCAGGTCATTAACTTGTTTCTTGTGTTATGAAATTATCTTATTCTTTTAAATAAGATCTAAAGAAAGCCTTAACCAGTGTTAATGCATCCCTGAAAGTCCACGTGTGGCAAACAGAAAACTTCCTCCATTTCCTATATATACATACATAGATGTGTGCCACAGAAGCATGTACTTTAATTATTTTTCAGAGGAGTCTCTCCTAAGTATGGAGAGCTTAGAGATAGTAGTATCTAGATATTCATGTAACAACTTGCCGTTACCCATAACAGATCTTGAGCTCAATATAGGGATTAGAATGGCAACTCCTACAAAGAAACAGTGAAAAAACTGCTTAGCTGT